AACCAGAATACAATTAAGTTGTGTTATTTGAGTTAAGCATTGTTCTCCTCTGTTAAGGCCTTTACTTTTGCGACACACATGTGGAGAAGTTAATTTGATTTTTCAATTCCAACTGAGAAGGGTACCTACAAGTATCAGTATCATCTTATGATTTATATGATATTATTTTTATATTAATCCCAGTTACGACAGTTTTATATTAATCCCAGTTACGACAGTTTTATATTAATCCTAGTTTTTTATATTAATCCCAGTTACGACAGTTTTATATTAATCCCAGTTACGACAGTTTTATATTAATCCCAGTTCGACAGTTTTATATTAATCCCAGTTACGACAGTTTTATATTAATCCCAGTTCGACAGTTTTATATTAATCCCACAGTTTTATATTAATCCCAGTTACGACAGTTTTATATTAATCCCAGTTACGACAGTTTTATATTAATCCCAGTTACGACAGTTTTATATTAATCCCAGTTACGACAGTTTTATATTAATCCCAGTTACGACAGTTTTATATTAATCCCAGTTACGACAGTTTTATATTAATCCCAGTTATTAATCGACAGTTTTATATTAATCCCAGTTACGACAGTTTTATATTAATCCCAGTTACGACAGTTTTATATTAATCCCAGTTTTATACGACAGTTTTATATTAATCCCAGTTACGACAGTTTTATATTAATCCCAGTTACGACAGTTTTATATTAATCCCAGTTTTATATTAATCCCACAGTTTTATATTAATCCCAGTTACGACAGTTTTATATTAATCCCAGTTACGACAGTTTTATATTAATCCCAGTTCGACAGTTTATATTAATCCCAGTTACGACAGTTTTATATTAATCCCAGTTACGACAGTTTTATATTAATCCCAGTTACGAGTTTTATATTAATCCCAGTTACGACAGTTTTATATTAATCCCAGTTATGACAGTTTTATATTAATCCCAGTTACGACAGTTTTATATTAATCCCAGTTACGACAGTTTTATATTAATCCCAGTTACGACAGTTTTCTATAAATGAAATATCAAAATTAATAAAATGAATTGAAATACAAATAACACAGTAAAATGTAATAAATGTACATAAAATTATAGTATTTTATGTACACTTCTGATAAAATTTTGTAAGGTGCCTATAAATTAATTAGATACCTTTCTTATGAAAAATGAAATTTAATCTCACTCTTAATAGTCTTATTTTAATTTTTTTATAATATATTTTCCATAAAGCATTGTAAACGTAAAGGTGAAAGCTAAGTAGAAAAAAAGAAAATTAGAGCGCTGAAAGTTTTCCTTAAAAATAATGAGGTAAATAATTTGTTCACTTAAATGTAAATAATTTCACTTTTCTCCTTCCGTAGAACAAATTATCCTCACGGAATATGTCAATACGTCATTCATCACCTGTCAAGTGAGGCGAAAGTTTATGACCTGCTTTGTTTTATTTTCAAATTACATCTTTTCAGTGCAGAAGCTATTTTAAGCTTGGTTCAAAATATTTTAAATAAACATTATAATTTCTAATTTTCTTAAAATAAGTTTTGAAAAAATGATAATTGATATTTAAAAGAATTTCAAAGTGAGATTTTCATTTTTTTTATAAAATGGAAAAAAATGATTGTCATCTGTCAATTTTGCTGACTCAAAAAAAAAAAAAAAAAAAAAAAAAACCAAGATTTTTAATGAAAATTTCAGACATGCTAGGAACAATTAAAATAATGTAAAAAATACTCCCAAAATACTTTGATCTTTCCTCTTAATAATAAACATTTAGATGATAAAATTTTGTTTTTGTTAAGTTTGGTGTCTTTTTCATCATGCTATGCTCTTTTTTTTTAGCAATCTCGTGGAGGTACCTACTCTAAGATGTTAACATCTTGCCTCTTTTATTCCAAATTTTTTCTACACAAAATTCTCCATCCTTCTTTATCATCCCTACTTTTGCAGGAAAGTTTACCATCTTTAGAATATACTATATTTATGGGTAAAAGTGCTCAATAAAAGGGATAGAACATGTGTAAATATAAGAGTGGACTGAGGTGAACAAGTGGTGACAGTGTTTCATGCTTGAATGCAATCTTCAGGCCATGTGCATTGGTTGGTATTACTCAACTATATATATTCTGGTCAATGGTTTATTCTAACAGTTATTGCATAGACAAAGACAGTTAAATTATTCTAAAAGCTATTGAGTAAAAATAGCTATTGGCCAGAATGCAGTTATTTTATAGCTAATTGTATAGGGTTGCTTTTTAACCTGTTAATTATGATTGATTACTTGTATTATTATTTACTGTTGATTATTATAAAATTTACTTGGTTGCAGTTATGCAGAATAATGATCAACAGTGAATAATTAATGAATAAATTCAAAATACCCTAAGTAATCAATAATAAAGAGTTATAACATTAATTTGATAAACTTTTGGGGATTATAAAATCTTTGTTTGCCAAAAGGACAAATAAAATGCCAGATAATATTAGAAATTAGAAGTCAAATGTCATAATTTTGGCTTTTATACATTTTTTATATTAGCTATATTTCGTAATAAAATTATTTTATGAAGTATTAGTGTTATGTAATAAAAAAAAAAATCAATCTCTACTATCCAACTTACACAATAAGACAATAGCTGGTCTTGAAGGATTTTTTTGAGTATGAAGAAGTGGTCACATGATGTTACATGTAATAGCTGAGATCAATACATCTGCTGTGAAAATTTGTGGGAAAAAAAAAAAGGGGGGGGTGAAAAATTTAGATAATTTTGTTTGCAAAGATTTATATGAAAATGAAATTGATAAAGCAACTTGCCTTGACAAAAGGGATAAGAGATCGCCACCAGGATAGAATTCCATAACAAAATAAAGATTGTTTGAGTCTTGGAATGCATAATGCAATTTGGTTATCCAGCAACTGTCCGCTTTGGCCATGATTTCCTTTTCTTCATTAAAGAAGGAAACCTATAAAATAGAATAATTAACTCCAAACATCAATGTTAAACTAGGATATATAAATTTTTTTTCTCATAAAAATCCTAGTTAATCACTATTAAGAGAGAAAAAAATAAAATAAAATTATTTAAGCTTCAGAAAAAATTTGACAAGCCCATTACTGGACATGATTACTCAAACATTTTCCATCATGTAAAAAAAAATTGCAAAATATCAGACAAGGAACTTGTTCTATAACTCATTAAGAAGTTAGCAATTACTTGAACAGTATGGCTGAGGTAAATAGATGACACCTTCATACACTGGCCTCACCAGGAAGCTGGAGAAATACTGCCGGACCAAGTGAACTTAAGCCCTTTGATCAAGTTCACAATGGAAGAAAATAATAATCAGCTAGCCTTCCTGGATATACTAATAACTTGCACAGAGAATGGGTTCAAGACGTCTGTATATCACAAGCCACCCATCACTGAACAATACTATAACTTCAATTCCCACCATCCATACTGTGTTGAGAAAGGGATCATCTGATGCCTACAACACCGAGCAAAAAAACATAAGTGTCAACAAAGAATACTGAAGAGTTAGACACCTGAAAAGAATCAATGCATATGTTGGCTATGAGGACCTCCTTACTAAGCCTAGCATAAAAATAAATACAATATAGGAGCCACAAATAAAGACAGACAACAAATGATAGCAAGTCTACAACAGCAGCAGCTCTAACAAAAGCGAAAAAGCTTCAGTCAGTGCAGACAAGCAGCACTCACTAGTAGGAAGGTTAGGTTTAAAGCTCTATGTCCTCCACAGAGAATTGTCCCACTGAATGTGTAGAGGATTAAAACATTGGTACAGGAATTAGGTAACACTAATTGTGAGTTCAATCCCTGGACTGGGCAGCATTTACTTGGACTCAGTGGAAACAGTGAGCAATAATTGAGCAGTACTAAAAATAAGAACTAGAGATATTCCTAGATATGGGCAGTCTAATCCCATAGATTAAATAAACAGTCCAGTTTGAAATTCTCTGTAGGTTACTTGGATCAACAAACACCTGAAAGTGGAAGGCCTAATGGTGAAAATGTTGTGATAACAACAAAGATGAGGACAATATTCTGCATGTAAATAATTACTTGAAAGTTACCCATAAAACTGACTAACATAAAAATCACATTGAAATGTGGTAAATATGTGATACTGTTTGTTGTAAAATGGAAAGTAAAATGGAAGAATGTTTTGTTAAAACATAAAATGTTATGTACTGAGAGACATTGAAACAAGACAGGTTAATACCAAAAACCTGTGGGAAGAATTGAGGATTTAATTCACACGCAAGCAGTTTGAATAATGGAAAAGTGACCTAGATTTAGGGGTCAATGATGATTGGCATGTGTCCTATGTGGCTGAAAATGAATTTGAAGTTGATTCCCCTGGTTGAAAGTAGAGTTGGAATACCAGGAGGGGGTGGATGAGCCACCCACACTCAATGAGGGAATTTAGTGAGAGGTAATAATAGAAGAGAGTGGAAGAATTCCCCAGAAATATCAAATTCTCTTACTTTGCCAGTTTGGGCGAATGCCCATAAATACGAATGCGCAAGAAGAGAGGCAGAAGAGACAGTGACCAGGGGCAGGAGAGTGACCCATGTAATTATCTGCTGACAAAATCCTCCGACTTCAGCCTTGTGCCAATCTTTACCAAAGCGGCAAAGTTTAGCAAAGTCAACAACAATAGTATCACTTCTGATTTAGATGCGGGCTGACAATTATTGCATGTGAACTCTGATATATCCAATTATTGTACAAAAGACTTATATAAACAGAATTTACTTTTTGTTCAATTTATCCAAGCATTTTTTTTTTTACATTACGTCTTTGCCCTGCCCAACACGAAGATACCTGCAACAATTTGGTCTTGGCCTCCTTATGATCAAACTTAAATCACAACGTGGTATAAGGCAGGTCTGAGATCAAAGTGATCTTCATCGATCAGCTGTGGTGCTGGAAGTCTTGGACAACCAGGAAGGGTGTTGTATGATTAAATTTGGCGGCTGGGACCAAGGATCAACTCAACATTTGGTCACTGCAAGCCAAGATTGACCCTGAAAGATTGCAGATTTGACCTTGGGTTGACTACGACAAACCCAAGAATCCAGACAACAGAAAGGAAGAAAATAAGAAAAGGAGTGAGAACCAATGGACTCTGGTCATTTTGACCATATGGTTCTAAAAATACACTCTGCAAGTTTTTTATTCTCTCTATAAATTGACAGTGACCCAGGAACAGGTGACTGGTAGGAGACTTTTCAGTTTTTCCCTGAAATTTCTCAATATTTTTTTTTTGTTGCATCTTGCCAACACGATTTGCTATTTTTTCAGTCTTTTCCAATTTTGCTCAATTTGAAATGATTTATTTAACATGAGTGATCATGGGTTGGAGAGGTTTGAAGTGATAGATGTTGGGGATGAGGGGGCAAGACAACAGTCCACTAGTGGCCTGAGGGGATTGCTAGGGGGACCCAGGCTCCCGACCTTTGGGGGAACCCGAAAGAGTTGTAGGGTTGGCTAGCGTCATTTGAAAAGTGACAGTGCATATATGAACTGATAAGGAAATGGTATACATAGCATTTAACACTGCAGTGAGTTCAGTTTTGGATTTCATAGGGGATTGCTTAGTGGGAGATCTCAAGCTGACCCGTAGTGAGCTGGAGAAATTACTTATAAAGGAATATGCTGATGAGGGGACAGTAATTGAAGCAACAAGAAGCTTCATGAAACTAGTGCAATTGAAGGATGAAACCCCCAGGGAGCTAGAAGCTAGGGCAGAGAAGCTGGCTGCTCTGGCCTTTACAGGGGAGGTCAGGAATAACGCTGCTATGCAGGCCCAGATGGCCGACCTATATGTAGAGGTGCTTCAAAATGAGTGCATACAGCATGAGGTTATAAAAGAGGCACTAGTCAGGCTGTCTGTGGGAGTGGCGCTCGTCAAGGATAACCAGGGGGTGTGGGAGAAGGTTAAGAGAAAAAAGGCACAAGAGCAGAGTCAGGACAGGCAGATGGGGGAGGGTGGAGTAGAGGCCCAAAAGAAGGGCTTGGTCACACTAACATGGTGTTCTATTAGCCCACACCCACAAGGTACAGGTTAATCTGTGACCATGAGGGTCACAGGGCAGTCAGCTGCCCAACAAAGAGGAGACTTCCCCCAGATTTTGAAGATGGCAAATGCACAAAGTGCTGTCGTAGGAGACATAAAACTAAATGGTACAGGATTAAGAAAGGTTCCCCACCAATACAGGTTAAGAAGGCAAACAAAATCAGGGAAACACTAGTGGGCAGTAGTATAGATGAGACAACCTTTGGGGCGAAAGCAGCACACACCTGTCTGAACCAATCTGCCTGCTGAAGGGTGAGCAGAAGAAGGGAACGTTGAAGATGGGAAACTAAAGAGAAGGTAGAAGTGGGAGTATCCTAGAATAATTTAATAAAGAATTAAACCAACAATGACTGGTTAAAGGAATAAAACAAGGAAATCTTGTTACCCTTGCAGGAATGGCTGGTATGAGAGGGGCTGATGTTACTGATGATGATGACAATGATAAAGACAGGAGCCTGGAGACACAGCCAAAATACAATTTTTAAGAAAATGAGCAAAGTGATAATAACAAGGTCAAAGTGGTTGGTCACCTTTGTGATAGATTGGAGAGTGAGATAATAGGGCCGAGTGCAGCCAGGTTGAGAGTAGCGTAGAATTATCCCAGGGAAGGAAAATATCTTAGACTGTTATACTCTCTAGAATTGGAAACGGTTATAATGGAAGCCCAGTGGGAAGATATAAAAAAATTACCTAAAGTGAATAGAACTACTACAAATGAGAGAAAAGAGGGCAGCAGTTCCCATAGCAGGAAAGCGCTAAATGTTCTGTTTGGAACAGTAACTGAAGAGGACATCCAAGTTATAAGGAGAAAACTGGGGCAATTAGAGAAAGGTTAAAGAATTCTAACCCAGGTGGTAGGAGAAAATGTATCAATACTGCATGTGACAAAGAGCTGACAAAGAATAGGGCCATTATCAATTGGTTAATAAACAACCTGAGAGAACTAAGACAGGAGGTAGTTAATAGTTCAGAAGCTGTAGCAGCTGAATTGCAAGAATTGAGTGGGTTTATGCAACAGTGTTTCCAGTTGATAACTATTGCTAATAAGGTGCGACGGACTTGTCAGTCCCTGATGATTTTATTGGAGCATGCAAGAGCTCAATAGGATATCATTGGGACATTTTTTTCTTGTATGTCTTTGCCCTGCTTGGACCTGCCCAAAACTAAGATACCTGCAATGATTTGTTCTTGGCTTGCTTATGATCAAACTTAAATCACAACACAGGATAGGGCAGGTCTGAGATCAAAGCAATTTTTATTGATCAGCTGCAGCATTGGAAGTCTTGAATAACTGGGGAGGGTGTTGTACAATTACAAATATACTGTGTAGCACTAAGGAGCCATTAACAGATATTTAATTAAACGCAACCAAGTCAGAACAATAATTAGAGCTGATTTAATCATATTAGATCCGGGAACAACATGTATAGCCCAAAGGCAATGCACAGTGGTCAGAAATCTCTGATTCTGTTTCTTGTACTGTGAGGGTGATACTTAATATAGAAAAATGATATTTTTCTGAGTTTCGCAATTATTAGTATTTATTTGACAGGTGAATGGAATCAACTGACTGCTGGCACTGAGGAAAAAAAAAAAGTCAGACAATTGTCACTTACATCAGCTTGAGAGAGTGTTTTATTTTTCTCCAAAACCTTCATGGCATGAATCGTACCAGTAGCAATTTCACGCACCAACCGGACCTCACCAAAAAAACCACGCCCAATTACTTCTTTCACTTCAAAGTCAGATACTTTTATTCGAAGTCTTGTAATCTCTTGAACAGTCTTTTTATCTGAAGCAAAAAGAAAAATGACTGCATTAAAAAAAAAAAAAAAATCTTGTACTCTTATATATCTCTTTACAAAATATAATTTTCTTCAGAAATAAGACAGTTAATTCTTTATGATTGAAAACAAGATTTGTACAAAGAAAATTAAAGTCATAGAAAAATTTAGAACATGCTTCCTTGAAATTTTTTGTAAACTGCTAGAAGCCCAAAATTTTGTAAGTTCATTTGATTCGTCTGTGATGAAAAATTACATTAGAAACAATATAAAAAACGTTTTGCAAGGAGAAAAAAAAAAGAAAAAGAAAGATGCTTACATTTTTTAACAAAATCATAAACATATTTGTTTTTCATCAAGTTTTGTGCTTGACACTCAGTGAACAAAACCAACAGGCAGTCCAAAAGGCCTTGATTATAGATAAGGGTCTGGTTGATATTTGCATCAGTTGTACTTCCACTTAACAGACAATCCAAATGCTGGATTCGACTTGTGATTGAATCCACACCAGAGCCTTCCATTTTGGCAAAGCTGAAAAAAAAAAAAAAAAAAACCAAGAAAATTAAAATTTTGCTACCAAGACAGTTATTTACAAACTATCGGATTTGCTTTAATAATTTTAAAAAAAAAAAAGAAGCATAAACAAACTTACCAAAATCTTATCATTACAAGGAAAGACCAAAAGATTTTTTGATTATTAAATTACATTTTTTTTTTATCCTTTTTAGAAGATTTGAAATTTTAGCTAAATTTGTTTTTTCTTGCATTAGTCTTTTTTGCCATAAAAAACAATGATTTGGAAATTCTTGCAAAAAAAAAAAAAAAAAAAAATTGTCAGATTTTAATGAAAATTATTTTAGAAATGTTTAAGAACATCTTGGTAATTTTATTTTTTTACCTCTCCCCACCACCAGTTATTTAATTTTATGAAATTTCAAGAAATTAGTTTTTGTACTGCTTAATAGTTAGATGCAGAGCTCCATGGGGATTTAAATCAATTTTTATTTTTTTTGGTAAAAAAGACACAAGTTACTGAAAATCTGCTCTGAATTGTAAAAAGAAGAAAAAAAGAAAAGAAAAACGAAGAAAGAAAAAGAAAGAAGAAAGAAAGAGAAAGAAGAAAGAAAGAGAAAGAAGAAAGAAAAAGAAAGAAGAAAGAAAAGAAAGAAGAAAGAAAAAAGAAAGAAGAAAGAAAAGAAAGAAGAAAGAAAAGAAAGAAGAAAGAAAAGAAAGAAGAAAGAAAAGAAAGAAGAAAGAAAAAGAAAGAAGAAAGAAAAAGAAAGAAGAAAGAAAAAGAAAGAAGAAAGAAAAAGAAAGAAGAAAGAAAAAGAAAGAAGAAAGAAAAAGAAAGAAGAAAAGAAAAAGAAGAAAAAAGAAAAAGAAAAAAGAAGAAAAGAGAAAAGAAAAGAAAAAAGAAGAGAAAAGAAAAAGAAAAGAAAAAGAAGAAAAGAAAAAGAAAAGAGAAAAGAAAAAGAAAAGAAAAAGAAGAAAAGAGAAACGAAGAGAAAAACGAAGAAAAGAAAAAAGAAAAGAAAGAAGAAAAAAAGAAAAGAAAAAACGAAGAAAAAAGAAAAGAAAAAAGAAAAAAAAGAAAAAGAAAAAAGAAAAAAGAAAAAGAAAAAAAGAAAAGAAAAAAAGAAAAAAGAAGAAAAAGAAAAAGAAAAAAAAAAAAAAAAAAAAAAAAGAAAAAAAAAAAGAAGAAAAAGAAAAAAAAAAAAGAAAAAAAGAAAAAAAAGAAAAAAAAAAGAAAAAAAAAAAAAAAAGAAAAAAGAAAAAGATAAAAAAAAAGAAAAGAAGAAAAAAGAAAAAAGAAAAAAAGAAAAAAGAAAAAAAAGAAAAGAAGAAAAGAAAAAGGAAAGAAGAAAAAGGAAAGAAGAAAAAAGAAAAGAAAAAAGAAAAGAAGAAAAAAGAAAAAAGAAAAGAAAAAAGAAAAGAAAAAAAAAAAAAGAAAAAAAGAAAAGAAGAAAAAAGAAAAGAAGAAAAAAGAAAAGAAGAAAAAAGAAAAGAAGAAAAAAGAAAAGAAGAAAAAAGAAAAGAAGAAAAAAGAAAAGAAGAAAAAAGAAAAGAAGAAAAAAAGAAAAGAAATGAAACACATTTTTTGTGACACTGGCAAACAGAAAGAAAAGGTTTAAAACTAAAATATAACTTGGAACAAGACAAAAAGGGTCAAAGAATAGAACAATAGACTAAAATCACAATTGCTTTTAATTTAAAAAAATATTAAGTTGTTTTCTACAAGCTGTGTCTAGCTTGTAGAAAACAACTTTTATTTTGATATTGCCAAAAAGACCATCTGGAAGAAGCTGGGCTGACATGATTGATGGCATTGCTTAAAGTGGAAGTTACATAAACATGTTTCCTGATTATGCAAGAGATCAATTGAGATATTTGGTAATTTTGGAAACACAGGCAAAATAGGGGACCTATCAAAATGTGGAATTTGTAAACAAGGTGAGAAATAAAATTTCTTTATGTAAAGACCTAGCCCAAGGTTTCTTAAAAGTGTGATAATCCTAACAAGATAAGCTGACTGGAGGAATAAGCTGGTAAATTTCTAGCTGTTCCAGACATTGCTAAATTGAGTAAAGAGTCACAATAGAATTCAACGTGGGAGGGGTTAACATTTCTATACAAAGAAAGATATAAACCACATAGAAATAAACACTGAAAAATTCCTGTCTTTTCTTTATTTCATCTGCAAGAATGTTTTTATTTTTTGTTCATGACAGTTTTGCCGGGATCAAACCAGCACCACAATTGCTGACAACAACTCCATCTTGCCAGCTCTGTGATCAATCAACATAAACATGTGGCAAAGTGGGGCACAGATCAGAATAACCAACTCCAACAGCAGTATTGACCAGAATAAAAACTGATCCAGAATCAACTGGCAAGAAGGGTCATAACTGCTTGCCGTAGACCAGGACTGACCCAGCATGTCATATATTTAATCAGAAAAGATTTTAAATCTTTTAGATTTCTGTATTAATTTGTACCAAGGTAATTTTGTTATTAAGTAAAAACTAAATTTACTAATCATAAAATGGAAAAGCTTACAATTCAGTGACCCCCACCCCCGTATTTGAAAAAAAAAAAAAAAAAAATTTTTGAATGTGTGTGTAAAAGCGTGCGAAGTTTCATAAATATGGATGTCAATACATGACATCAAAAATTTAGAGCAATCACTACAGTAAATTTAAAGCCAAAGTACCTAAAATTCAATAAAACAGACATTTTACTAAATTTTTAAGATTACTGAGTACTTAAATATTATAAAAAGGTGCTCACGTTATATACCTTGAGTAATTTTTACAGATTAGTTCCGTATAGAAAAAAAATTAAACTTTTGGCTGTTAGCAAAAAAATTTTAAAAAATGCATTTCTGTGATATTTTAAACTAAAAGTAATATTTGTTTCAAATCTGATTAATTAAACTTTAAATTTGTTGATCTTCCTCAAATACAATTTTAAAAAAGTATATTTTATTTTTGAAAGCTGGCTGAAAATGGCGCTAAATTCAGCAATTTAAAAAAAAAAAACAAAAAAAAAACAACTTCCAGTCAATTCTAATTAGCTTTGAAATACAGCAAAGTATTTTGCTTATTGAAAATATTAAATTTAATCTATTAGCTTGAAGTTAAAACTAAAATGAAAGCTTCAACTAGCAATGCACACTCACAACCAAAAATGTTGGAATTACAATTTTGAGACATACTCTGCAGTAAAATTGTTATAAGTTTGCAACTAACCATAGCATTACAGTCAAACCTACATCATTTAATAGCATAGAAATAGATCTTTAATATGGTACAAAAAATATAGCACAAAAAAATATAGTTATCTCTATAGTTATTATTTAGTAGAGAAATAAAAACTGACGTAGTGCTCTTTTTAGCAGGTTTTGTTGTATTTTAGTTTTTTGCTGTCCGTAGTGACACCCTAATTTCAAAATATTCTGTCGAAACTTCTTTGAATATTTTTGTGAAAATTTCTGACAAAACAGATTGATTTCCAATCTGTATTAAATTATAATTAGGTACCTCCACCTTTTGTGGAAAAAAAACAGCATAACATGAACGAAATTTGTAAATTCTTAAAAAAATCAAATAATTGTCAGATTTTAATGAAATTTTCAGGAGTTATTTACAAATGAATTAAATTATTTTTGGAACTTTTCATTTTTAGAAAATTTTGGTAATTTTTTTTTTTTTACACGTTAGTTAAAAGTAGGACTTGTTGGAGAATGTAAATCATCTGATTTTTTTTTCAAACTTTTGCTATTCTAAATAAAAATCTGCTAAACTAAAAAAATGTAATCAAACTATGACATTATTAGAAAAATTTATTTGCTTTTGTAAATAAAATCTTTTCTAATTGAATAATGTCAGTTTACATTAAGGAGTGTCAAGTTATATTAAGGACACTATTGCCTGAAGAAATAAAATTTTTTTGATGATTAATGAATTTTTACAAGAATTTTTAAAATTTTAATTATAATAATTTATAAATTGTTTAAAAATCATTTAAAATTCTGTATTGGGCTATTTCCCGGATATGATATTGTATTTAAGTGGCAACGAAATTTACAAATCCAAAATTGAAAAAAAAATTTAATAAACATCATTTTACTATTCTATTTTTAAAATAATTTTTTCTTTTTTCACTTCGTTTCCTTTTTTTCATCTATTAAACCCTCTTTTTATCTAAAATATTTAAATTATTATTCTAATTTATTAATGTATAATTTAAAATTAAATTACGTTATTATGTAAATTTAAAATATTACTTACAAGGGCAAAGATATATGTCTTTGCCCATGTAAGTAATATTTAATAGTTTGCATCCACTTATTAATACATTCAGACTCAACTCTTTGGGTTTGTATATGTCTATATTAATGCATGTGTGTATGATTGCCTATATGCCTTTTATTGTATGTATAGGTGTGTGATAATTCCTTTTTTTTTTTTGGTCATGAACATCTATTTCCTGTTTTTGCATATTTATATATCTAAATATGTCTATGTTTGTATATTGTGGCACCTTGCATTATTAGAAATATTCATAGAAATATGATTTAATTTTTTTTTTACTCGGTTTACTAAACAGGTTGTTGATTTTTTTTTTTAAACGGAAAATAATTGAGTTGAAAATAATTCACTAAGATTGTACTTAGACGATCCTAAGGGGAGAAGAGGAAAGAAGAGAAAAGGAAAGAAGGGAAGATAGAAAAAGAAGGGAAAGAGAGGTCAAGAAATGCAAAAAGCGGTCATTAACAAAAAACACGTATCAGAAAGGTATTTAGGTCAACATCTTGGCCGATTTTCGAGACAATGAAAAGAAATATTATTTAGAAGGAAAAGTTATTTTGATAAGAATGTCGGTCAAGCGATGACCGACTTTTTAACGTAGAAAGACGCATTATCAATTTGGAGTAAAGGGAAATTTTAGAACAATGGGAACGAAATCTTAATCTGGAGAAAGGGAAATTTTAGAACAATAGAAACGAAATTTTTTTAATCGGAGAAAAAGTGTCTTTTGGGTTGAGGGGAGGACCGTGGAACTATATACAGATTCTGACCTATTAAGAATTGGAAACCCATGATAACAAAGTGGGGACATTTTCAATGTAGATAATTAAGATTTTCTGACAAAAACAAGAGGTGAAAAAACGATTGTCTCAGTTCACAGATAGCGCCAATATTCTTCCCTGAAGTCACATCTAATTAGCGGCGGGCTGTTTTGACAGAGCCCAGGTGAGAAAAAGCCAAGATTGTCATTTTTTTCGACGTGAAAAAAAAGGCAAAATTAGATTTTGTTTTTTTTAAAACAAGAACGATGTAAACCACGCCCAACCACAATCTCATTAGCAAAGCGGTCACGTGATATGGAAAAGAAGAGAAAGGATGCTCGATCAAGAACCATTGGTCGGAAACGGTCACGTGATCTGCGGAAAAAGAAGAGAAAGAAGTGCTCGATCAGGAATCATTGGTCGAGAGCGGTCACCTGACACACGAGGGACCGGGAAAGATGGGTGTCGCCTCCCCACCAAGGGCACTGTGAGGAAGTAGGGGTGAAAACAATAGCGATAATGAGAAGACAGAAATAATGCGACTTTTGAATTATCGAGAAAACCCTGACGCCGACAGACCCACCCCAGTTTGTTGCGGCGTCAATAAAAGCAGGACCCCAGTCGACAGAAATCAGTTGGAGGGAGTTGCAGCTGGACCGCTGGCAGGGAAAGAGCCTGAACGCCGGGCATCGGGCCCGATTCACTCGCCCCTTTGCGGGCAAAAGAATCCTCAGACAAGAAATCCTTCCAGCCCAAGTCGAAGACAGAAGAGTTCAGCCCCGGACGGCAGCGAGAAGAGATCACCTCGACGACAGAGAGTTGCGGCTGAGTTGCGGCAAGAAATCCTTCCAGCCCAAGTCGAAGACAAGAGAACTTCCAGCCCAAGCAGACGAAGAAGAAGATTACCCGAAGCCGCAGAGAAGTTGCAGCCAAGTCGAAGACAAGAGAAGTTCTATCTTAGTTGACGAAGAAGAAGAAATACAACTCAAGTCGAAGAGAAGAATCAACTGCGAATGATCGATAGAAATTAGCCCCAGTGTCGAACTAAACCACACTCCGACATACACACAATTCTAAAGAGTAGGCAATTCAAATCTTTAGGTTGTGTGATAGAAGCTTGGTGCCATAGTCCACAGAGCGGGTCGGGAATTGAGAACAATTTTTCTTTATGTAACGGACATTAGATATAAAAAGGTTGTCACCCTTTTTATCAGTAATTTTTTTGTCTCGTGAGTTTTTTTTTTTTTTTTTACTTGTGTTTTGCCACCCCCGGACTCAACTTGTATTGGCCCCAATCCTGCTGGTCCCGTCTGTCTAAGATCTAAACACAGCGTGGGTAGACAGACCGGAGATCAGTACAGTTGCTTCAGTAACCAGGTATTGGAAGCGAGTTGGGAAAGGCGAGGCTGGTGATCATCCAACCAAGGGGTTGGAGCGGCACGCTTGGAACCAGGAGGAGCGACCAGGAGGAGCGACGTCACAGTTGGCGCCGTAACCAAGGGATTCGACCCTGGGCCAGGTGT